CGATAAGCTATTAGAGGATATGCTTAAACATAACATAATCCGACCTTCGTCCTCACCCTGCGCATCCCCGATTGCCATTGTTCCCAAGAAGGGTGGCTCATTGCGGCTGTGCATTAATTATCGTCGCCTGAACGCCGTCACGATGCGCGACTCTTTCCCCCTTCCCCGACTAGACGATACTCTGGAGTCCCTCGGAAACGCCCGGTGGTTCTCTACCCTTGACCTCAAGTCCGGCTACTGGCAAGTCGAGGTGCACCCTAACGACCGCCAGAGGACGGCCTTTACCGTCCCACAAGGCCTCTTCGAATTCCAGGCAATGCCTTTTGGCCCGTGAAACGCCACGGCAACTTTCCAGCGGCTGATGTTCCGGGTCCTTAAACATCTTGTCCCCCGCAATTGCCTCGTCTATCTTGACGATATCGTCGTTTTCGGGGATTCGGTCGAACAACATAATTCTAATCTCCGCCTCGTCCTAGAAGCTTTATGTGATGCTGGTCTTACCCTCAATCCCAAAAAATGTCTCTTCCTCCGCCCCGACGTTGAATTTCTCGGTCACCACATATCCCCTGGCCAACTTGCCCCTCTTCACGATCACGTACATCATATCCGTACATGGCCCGTGCCCTCCAACTAGAAAGAACTAAAAAGTTTCCTCGGTCTCATGTCTTACTATCGCCGTTTTATTCGTAACTTCGCACACATCGCCTCCTCCCTTCATAAATTAACCCAGAAGAATTGCACTTTCCTATGGTCCACCGCCTGCACGACTGCTTTTAACGACCTGCGTGATGTTCTCTGCTCCGCACCGGTACTATCCTTTCCTAATGTCGCTGCGGATGCACCGGAGTTCATTCTTGACACCGACGCCAGTGGGTCAGCTATTGGCACCGTGCTCTCACAACCTGACAGTAACGGTCTCGAACACCCCATCTGCTTCGCCAGCAATGCCCTGTCAAGGACCCAACGTAACTACAGCGTTACCCTCAGGGAACTTCTAGCTGTCGTGACTTTCGTCCGACAGTTCCGACATCTACTACTGGGTAAACACTTCGTCATCCGTACTGATCACCGCGCCCTCAATTGCTCCAGTCACTCAAGGACCCTATGCACCAATTTGCACG